CTCATCATAGAACCTAGTTAAGCTTCGGATGATCATTGAGGGTACTGAGCCTTGTTAGTTGAATTGATCCCTCTGGTTATTAAAAGAGGGTTTTTGAACGTTCGACAGTCGGACGAAATCACGTCCAACTCCCAAACTCAGCTTAGCTACTAAAACTGGACTATCATGTTTAAAGATGTTCATAGTCAATCCATCATGACCTGATGTTGTTCTTCTCTGCCTGACTAGGAGTTGAGGTGTGTTAATTTCCCGTTCAGACTTTAAAATAACTCGGTAACATGAGAGTAGCTTCAGCTCAGTGGACGCTACAGAATAACATTGACGTTTCTTAATCTTCAAATTTTAAGTTACCGGTAAAAGTTACTGCGTCTTTTCACAGCGTTTTGGATATCGTGCTAAGTTACCTCTGCGTGTATAATTAGATGGCGAAGTCTCTTTTTTATTAGATAGGTATGAACTTTTCAAACTTTTGTTATGATATAACCTAGAGAAAATCTCTCTAATTTATTTACGCACTGGCATTTGCTATCATCTGTTGTCAGTCATAGTATACTAACCGTTGTGCTTCACTGTCATTATATGAGCTCTATTCGGGGTATAAATTTATTCCGAAAGTACCGCTAATTGAAAAAGCCGGGTAGTTGTCAATGTTCACTGACATTGCAGAGAAAAATTACCGGATCTACTCCTTCATCCGCTACGCTATTAATGAAAGCATACTAAGCTAGATAATTTTGTTTTATATAGTTCTTCAGCATGTGAGAGTACCTTGTGGCATCTTGTTGGGGCGGTTAGATCCTAATTCCGTAATTTCACTCTGAAATCTTGAATTCCTATGTTTTCGCGCCTGATACACTTAGCTGTGACTTTCAACTTACTCTTCCCATTCGGAAAATCCTTGACTGTCATTGGTTGATGGATCATTTTAGTATGGTATTTTGTGGCCCTCCTAAGGGTGTTTCTATCATTCTATAAATAAGCTTGAGTTGAATGCTTACTTTCTAGGTGCTTGTAGAATACATTTTCTACGCGCTTTATCGAGACTTCTTCATCCAGTTAGTGGGGTGTGGGACGATCGGATTACAGTAGCCTATCGTGTCACTGAATCATTGATTTCGCTCCGTTTACCGGGTAAGGTGAACTCATAATAGCATTCAAGTATATCAATTGGCGAGCATAACATATTTTATTTATGATAACTACATAACTTTACATTTGTTTGAAGTGTGTGTGTGTGTCCACCTGCTTGCATATATTAAAATTCGTTTGTGGATGTAATGATTTGTGATTTTTTTCCCTTACATCTTTGTATCCTCCTGCTGTCTGTGTACATAGTTTACGTATTATCCATATCGATTGATTGAGTAGGCCGGCTAATGTGTTCCCTACTTTTAGCTAGCTAGTTTGACTTACACATCCATTTAGTTTCCTGTCAACTAGTAGTACATGAACACAGTTGAAATAAGCTTGTCCAGTAAGTACAGTTTTAGTTAGCTTTTATTATCTCATCACCCATTACAAATTATTCTCTAATCGAAAAAAAAAAGAAATTCAAACCAATCATTGGAAAATTTTTATTTATTTGAACTAGCCTTTTATTGAAACTATTTACTTCATGACAAAGTGCATTTCAACATTACTAAAAATATTTACTGCCAAATAATTTTTTTTTAGGAAAGGAGGGTAAGAAAGATAATATACGTAGTATGGTAATAATAAGAATCATTATTATTCTTTAAGTAACACTTGAACAGGTTCAATAGCGCCTAGATTAGGACCAACCAATGATAATGCAGCTTGATTACTTTTCACAGTTTTATTGAAAGCCTGAAATTATGTTTGAAATAAAGGAAAATACGAAATGTTAATTGAGTACACACAAAGCATACAGTGAACAACTTGTTATTTTGAGCATTGAAAAATGCTATGAACGCATAGAGCTGCTGTATTGGTTTCTGAGATATGCAGTAATGGTTAACAATAACGGAGTAGTGTATATGAAGTACATCAAGCTGACACGAGTACCAAATAAAAAGAAGAAACGTACAACCTGGATTCAACGACTTGTCATCATCGAATTCTGCTTATAATGCTAACAGCCGTCTTACTTTATGGCTGTGAAACATGGCCAGTGAGAGTAGAAGATATTCGTAGGTTACTGGTCTTCGATCATAGGTGTCTTCGAAGCATTGCTCGTATATCGTGGGACACCCGAGTGAGCAACGCTGTTATTAGGAAGCGGGTGCTAGGTAAGGATGGCAGATCAATAGATGAAGTGGTGAAACTTCATCAGTTGAGGTGGTTGGGACATGTGTTACGAATGTCTAACCACCGACTGCCTCGAAGAGCTTTGTTTTGTAGTTTAGGAGTAGGTTGAGAGAAAGAAAGCTAGGGGCGGCCAGACCAAAACATGGCAGAAATCCATGAAGTCATTGACAAGTGGACTGAGCCATGTCGGTAGTTGTCGACTACCTGGTTCGGGTCCGCGAGATAATAATCGATGGTTAGAGACCTTGAATGACATGGCTCAAAATCGTTTGCAATGGCGCCGGTGCATTTATTCTTTGTGTTCTCTCAAATCATAATCTTCTGGATTCTTCAACCTCTCTACTTTTCTCACTGAATCATATTTCTTGAATATCTTCTCATCCTAACCTCTCCGATTACTTCTAATACCTTTACTACCTCTTCTACTATTGGATTCGAATTGACAATTACATCTCTGTGCTGATGTGGTATGGCAACATGAACTGATGTACTTACGTACGAAGTTGTACGTTGCATCTGACTGATTGACTATAATGCTAACGATTTATTGGTCATATCAAGAAACTAATCAGTATATGATGCGCATTTGACAAAAGAGACTGATGTATTTGGAGTTGTAAACACCGATGGGGAAGACACTATTCAAAATCATACAATGCGATAGATGTTCATAGTTGTTCCTTTCTATTTTGGAATAAATTTTCCATTGTACAAAACCCTATACTATGTATTTTAAAATTTTGTTTTAGAATATTCACATACTTTACAATAAACATTTAGTACCGTTCTGATGAATGTTATATCAAACTTCATAGACTGTGCACGACCGTAGCTGCTACCTTGACGTGGAGGTCGGGCTTGCCTATCGTGATGACCCAACCGAGCTATATTGGCTGGAACATACGTTCCTGAAGGTTCTACCATGCCAGGCAGGTCGATTGGAGAATGCGGAGACTAAAAGCAGCTACTCAAGGTCTGAGGGCGAAGTAGTACTACTGATTGCAGAGCAGTGTGACAGCAGTAAGGTGTTTCCCTCGGACAACCAGCATCTGCAGCGATGCTGCCTTCTCACAAAGAAGGAAGGGTTAGAAAAAGGTCGACCTCAAAAATGTCACACCTCACCCTACCTCATGGATTTCCGTTTCCGGTGGCAAGGCTTTTTAAACAAGAACAGAGCTAACACTTTAAAAATTCTCATAAAAAGGCCGTGTGTGACCGGCCTATAAAATAGTTGTCCCTTGGGCTCTGCGATGACGCTCACTAAGACCAACGCTAATCCGATTTACTTTTCAGGTTCTTCAAAAAACAGCCTTCCACAGTGTGGGTGGCCGGAAAATGACATCCGCCCTTATACCCGTAACAACACACGAGACCAAATTGGTCACAATCAAATCATTCTCATAGATTGTTAGGTTTACATTATATTAAGTATGGACATCATAAGAATTAGAAATACTGTTTCGTGATTCTTTAATAAATATGTGCGTTCAAAAGCAGCGCACTTTGATAAACACGAAAATCAAATATAACGATCTAACAATGTAACATTATCTACATTTATAAATGTCAACAATACAAGTCTGATATGTTTCAATATGTATTATTTCGCGTAAAAATATCAGTGTTTTCAACCGTTTAGATGATACGCATGACAAATGCAACGGATCTTAATCCACAATGAGAAGTTTTACAATGTGTTTCTGCCTTTAATATAAACTGTTCAATGGGTCGGATTATACTTTGAGCAACAACCATTTTAATTTGGTTATAATGTGTCTTTGTTGTGTTCTGTTCTCGCTATACTTTATTTATGTCCCAAAACACATAGATAGAGTAACTAAGCCAAACAAATTCCCACGTCCCCAAAAGCCTGCAACTAGATATCCCAACTCTATAACTTATGTAAATATGTATATACGAAATATAAGACTCACAAAAATTTTGATAATTAGACAGAATAAGTAACAGGACCCGTTTCCAAATGACTGTACTGCTTACTCGGTTGTCCCACGGTACACGAGCAATGCTTCGAATACTAATAGCCTACGAACATCTTCCACTCTTAACGGCCATGTTTCACAGCCATAAAATAGGATAGAGCGAACTACTGCACAGTACACTAGTCCTTTGGTTAGCAAACGGATATCTCGCCTATGCCATAAGTGACGTAAGTTGGCAAAAGCCGATCGAGCCTTCTGTATCCGTGTTGAGATTTCGTCAGTCATCAGGCCAGATAAGTGAAGCAGTCAACATGCTCAACTGCTTCACTTCCTATCATTAGTTCAGGTACCGACGCAACCCAACCTTCAATCAACATTTTGCATTTCAACGGGGAGAACCGCCTCCCAAACATGCTTGTATTGTTGCTTAGGGTAATCAAAAGACTCTGGCATTTTGCCAGCGTCTTTACCGAATAGGACTATATCATCAACATACTCTAAGTCAGTAAGCGTGTCTCCTGGTAGAGAAGGTCTACTACTCCTAAAAAAGTTAGACAAAGATATTGTTGTTATCTCTAAAAGCATGTGTCTACAACAAAGTTAAAAACAAGAATGGAGAAAAAAAAAGGACAACCCTAACCAAATACAATGTGTACACACACCACTAATGGATTTCAAGCATTACATAATTCAATACTTAGCATAGATAGTTAGTTATGAGACAAGAAACTATTCACTAGAAAAAAAAAAACACTAACTACTACTTACATCATTCAATGCATTCAAATCAATTTTATTCATATCTTCAATTAATTCAATTGGTTTAACACATTCATCTACTGATAAGGATAATAATTTAATTGATGTATCCACAACTGAATGAAATGGATTTTCATATTTAAACAATTGATCAGCTTTTACAGTGGATCTAAAGTAAAATAAAGTAAGGGAAAAAAACAATAGTACAAAAAAAACAGGAAATAAAGATTCCTGACAAATAAAAAGAAAACAAGACATTTATATATACGAAATGATCATTTTGATTTACAGCAATGAAATGTATAATTTAAGTTAAATGAATCAAAATTGAACGGTCCTAGGTTAGGAAACGAGTTGTAGGTAGGAATGGCAAGTCGATAGATGAAGTAATGAAACTTTATCAGTTGAGATGGGTGGGAGATGTGTTACGTATGCATAACCACCAACTACCTCGACGAGCTATGCTTTGTGGTGTAAGCGTAGGTTGGAAGAAAGTTAGGGGCGGCCAGACCAAAACATGGCACAAATCCATCAAGTCAGTGACAAGTGAAATGAGTCATGTTGGTAGATGTAGACTAGGTGGTTGGGGTCCGCGAAACGATAGTCACCAATGGTTAGAAACCTTGAATGACATGGCTCAAAATCGTTTGCAATGGCGCAGGTGCGTCCACTCTTTGTGTGCATTTTAATTCTAACCTTCTGAATTCCTCATGATCTCTACCTTTCTCCTTCTAAATTTATCTCACTGAATTATACTTCTCGAATCATATCTTCGCTCCTTAATCTTCTCCGTTACTGCTAATACTTCTATTATTGCTATCACACTTGGATTTGAACTGACAGTTGCGTCTCTGTGCTGATGTGGTAATGGCAATCTGAACTGATGTACAGTACGTACAAAGTTCTGTGTTGTATCTGTCTGTCTGTCTGTCCTGGGTTTGAATCCTGAGGAGTACCGGAGTCGTGGATGCACATTGCTACTGATAAGTCGCATACCAGGATGGAACGACCGTCGTCCAGTGAGTGCTTCCAGGTTTCTAATGTTGCTAGTCTAACAGTGATCGAATCATGATTTAAATAAAAGTAATTCAACAATCCCCAACAACCCCATGGTATAAAATCGAAATGTTTATATTAGAGAGTGTATAAATAAATTTCAATGATGTAACACTTATTCATTGCAAATAACTTTACTATATGCCTAATATTATATGTTTTTTAAAACTATTTCAATGTTTGAGAACAATAACTTCTATAACTCTATCGTACGATGTGCTCACTAGTGGTGACTAGCTAGATTCGTGAGGAGATTCTCCGAGTTCTAGTGAAAAGACGTGACCAGTGGCGTTTAACCATATCGGGTGTAGGCATTAATTACTGAAGACAATGGGTGAGGTAGTACAAAAATTCTTCAGATTGATCAGAGTTAGACACTAACACCGTTGAATGCCACCTGCTCAGTGTTCCGGAGGTTAAATGTTCACGCTCAAGACTACAGGTTCTAGGACCGATTCCTGCCAGTAGCATGAGTCATAGATGCGCACTGCTACTGATGAGTCACACACCATAGCGAAATGGCCATCTTTCAAGTGCATCCAGGTTTCTAATGGTGGTAGTCTAACATTGATCGATTCATGATTTCAATGTAGTATAAACGTATAGAACAAAAATTATATAGTTAGTTGTTAATCTCAAATTAGAAAATCAATAATATAAATTATTAATTAAGCAATTCATTCACTGATATCTCATAAGCAATAACCATTGAATACAACTACTGTATGTGTAAACAAACCAATATACTATCACCTACTCTAAATCATAACATACAAGTGAACTGAGTCATGTTGGTAGATGTACACTACCTACCTGGTCGGG